ATATTAATACATTTTTATAAAAAAAAAAATTCTTACGTTACATTTATCTAAGTTATAAACATAAAAGATAAATTTTAATAATTTATTATTAAATTTTAAATTGTAGTTATTGTACTAAATTGATATGATGATTTATATTTTATTATATTATTTCTAATTTTATTAATATTAAACAAAATATTTTAAATTTTTATATTTAAATAAAAATCTGTTTATAACAAAAATTTTAGCTATTTTTTTTTAGAATTGAAACTTGAGTAACTTTTTTACCGCCGTAACTACGAACAATTATTACGTCCTCTGACCGGACGTAGAGCTACGTTCGGCCGTCAATAACATGTCGCCATGTGCTCTTACTCTTTACCGCGTAGCTCAACGACTTTACCCGGACCGGAACCCAGGAATGCTATGTTCGCGATTTTCTCGATATTGCTCGATATTTGCTTGGTATTGCTAGGTATTGCTTTGCAAAAACGAGAAATACCGCACTGTGAAGACCAATACCATGCAAATACCGAGTTGTGCCGAGTTTTTCTACAACTCGTTACAACTCGGTATTTGCTCAGGATTTGCTCGGTATTGCTAGGGATTTGCTCGGTATTGCTAGGTATTTGCTCGGTATTGCTAGAAAAAACTCGGTACAACACGGTATTTACTTGGTATTGCTAGCTATTTGCTCGATATTGGTTATTGCCGAGCAAAATCGATCAATACCTAGCAATATCGATTAATCTTGGGTCCGTTCCGGGTCAGGTTATCGGGGCGCGGGATAAATTATGAAAACGCGTGACGCGATTCTACTAGTGGCCGAACGTAGAGCTATATCCTGTGACCGGATGGAATAAAAATTCCGTAACTACACACCAAATGAATGTAAGCTATTTGCTTTTAAAATATACCAAGTTTTATATTTATAAAATATTTTCTTAAAAAATACTAATCTATTTGACATTTTTTCTGATATATCAATTAGATTAGCATTTTCTTAAGAAAAGTTTATATTTTTTTGACGATTTTGTTACTTTTTAAATTTTTTAATAATCATTACCTTTTTTTTTTAAATTAAGCCCGAGAAATTTTATTATTAATTTATTTATTATCTTATTTAATTGATATAAAATAGCTGGATATTAATTCCAAATTTATTCAATTACTTTTTTTTTTAGATTTGTTAAATTATTTTTTAATAATTTGGTCTAAAATAAATAAATCCTCATTCAATTTTTTAATTTATTTTTAAGTTTCTTGAAATACTTGTTCAATTAATTCAGATAAAATAAACAAAAATGAATTTAAAAAAAAAACTAAACAAATTAAATATAAATATTTATGAGGAACAAATGACAAACAGCCATTAAGTAGCTATTCTCTGCACATACTGAACAGACTGTCTTGTCGTCATCGTCTGCTCTGCTCTACCTCGCCTCTGGCCGTCGACAGCTCCTTAGTTCCACCGCCATGGACGGCAGTTCGTCTCAATCTGCTTACGGAAAGCCAGGCATGACGTTTTTCTTTCTCTTTCTTCTTTGACGCAAATAGTCGAACAGTAGCTAATAAGTGTTACTCTTTCGTTTTTGTTATCAAGCAGGTTTTTCTGCCGGCGTACGCGTCCCCGTTTGTTCTACCACCCAGGTAAATTTAAATGGCAATTGAAAGATTGTTTATCACTAAAGAAAGAGTTATAATCGCTATTGTCCTTGCATTTGTCTTCGTTGTCCTCCATCGGAGAGCAAATATTGCTTATATTCTTGATCTGGCTTGTTTAGTTGTGATTCTGGGGTTTGTGCTTGCCCTTGATTTAATTTTTGCTTTCGAGTCGGTTTAAGTTAAATAAATGCATTTTTTTTTAAGGAATATTTTGATTCATTTTGTTGTAACAATATGATTCTGCGCAGTTTGGGCCATTCTCAGCTGTGCTTATTTTTTATTGTTCATAAAATCTGCAAGAGAAATTTTTTTTTTTTGCTTTCTGTTGATAAAATAGATTACCTGATCAAATTGATAAGCTTACATGCCCTGCCCCTTCTGTTCGAAGAGATTTTTTTTTGCTTACCTTGCTGGCATAATGCTATTATTCTTTTTTTGCTTACACAATAATCTTGAAGAAAAACAGAAATAAGGCTCATAAGAATCTTCACATAAATTTAGAGGAGAAGGCTCTCTCGGGTTCAAAAACCAAGTAAATTAGAATTTTCTCTCTCGAAACTATTTAAAGAAATAGATTGATTTTTGTTTTATGACATGTTTGTTTTAAGCTTAAAGTTGTTGTTGGTGTCCTGCCTGTATGGATTCATATTCAATATGCAAAAAAAGAGCAATATCCATAGATGTCATCATTCATAAAAGCAAATGTTTCTATAGTTTGCAACTCTCAGGTTTCATCACATATTCATAGTTTCTTCTTCTATAATATGGTTGCTAGCTTATCGAAAAACTTCAATTGAAATGGAGTACGGTGAAGGAGCAACCTTACCCTGCTATGTACTCGAGCTACTTTGGTGGAATCATTCTTGATCCTGCTATGATGCTTGTTCCAATAGATGATCACATGGTGCACAGAGGACATGGCGTTTTTGATACAGCCGTGATATTGAATGGGTAGGTATAAAAGTTATGTTCTAGCTTTGTTATTAAGTATATTAAGTACATTCTTCTTCTTTCATGTTCTATTTTTTATTGATAATTCAAAATGAAAAGTTTGAAGCTGGCAGTAACATGGTTGCTTAAGTTGTGTTATTAAGTTCTAAGAATAGATTGCTTTGACCAATAAATTCTCTCATTTACTTCACAAAATAATGCTTGTCTATGTTTATTGAAGGGCTTGAATGTTTCAACTAAAGTTTTAACTCAAAAGTACTTAAGAAAAAATGCGGCCACCGTATAAATTTTTTATCACAAGTAGCAGTTCATAAACTATTTCCACTTCCAAGATTTTTAATGTTTTTCTACTCTATTTTGTCTGTTTTGATGATTTGTTTCATATCATTCATTATTTTAAAATCTTATAGCTTAGTTAAAATAGAAGTTTTAGACAACCAAAGCAATGTTAGCGGTGATAAAATTATGGATATCATGATTTCTTTGCACTACACAGCTTGCCCATATATAATTTTCGAATTGTATCTATTAATGTAGCTCTTGAAGTTAATTTCAGGAATATCAGATTATTACATCTTATAATTGTTCGGTGACTATAATTCACCACTCATACCCCCAAATATCCTTTTTTTAGCACTTAAAATGATTGCATGATGAAATAAAGCTTAATAAATTTGTTCTTTTCATACCTACTTGTATTTACTAACTGATAGACATGGCTGATCCAATATACGCACTAAAATTTTGAAAATCCTGCTTGTTTGCAGGATGGTTTATCACCTATTTGATTTTCATTGTACTATCAAAGGACTTGATGTTCCTAATCTTTTTCAAGATTGATGCATGATTTTCTTTAAATCTGTAAATATCTGATATTTGGAAGTTTCAGAATAAGAAGAAAATATTAATAGAAGATGCATTTGAGTACATGTTGTAAGTGTGTTTCACTAAGTTTGGTATGTGAAGACTATTCATTTATTGCCATTAAGCTGGCCTTCACATTTTCAAGTGACTGATCTTATGGATAAACTCTTTCCCTGCTATTATGGAAGATGATTTGTTTTTTCAATATAAGTTATTCTCAAATCCTCCTTGAGCACCTTCTGCAGGTACCTTTATGAGCTGGATACCCACCTTGACAGATTCTTAAAATCAGCATCAAAAGCCAAGATTTCTTCTCCATTTCCTAAGGAAACTTTAAAAAACATATTGATCCAGATGACAGCAGCATCAAAGTGCAGGAGAGGCTCACTCAGATACTGGTTAAGTGCAGGGCCAGGAGACTTCCTTCTCTCATCTTCAGGTTGCCCAGAGCCTGTCTTCTATGCAGTTGTTATTGCCGACAATTTTTCCCAGCGAAAGGAAGGTGTTAAAGTCGTTACAGCCAGTACACCAATGAAGCCTCCTCTCTTTGCTACAATGAAGAATGTCAACTATCTCCCCAACGTTCTAGCGATAATGGAAGCTGAAGAGAAGAATGCCTTTGCCTCAGTCTGGGTTGATGAGAGCGGCCACATTGCAGAAGGTCCTAATGTTAATGTTGCATTCATAAGCAAGAAGAAGGAACTTCTGCTTCCCGCTTTTGATAATATACTCACAGGGTGTACTGCTAAGAGGCTTTTGGCATTAGCTCCCAAACTAATTGAAAAGGGACTTCTGAAGGGTGTGGAGATTCGGAATATAAAGTTAGAAGAGGCTAAGGATTCAGCTGAAATGATGTTTGTGGGGAGTACTCTTCCATTATTGCCAATCATTGAATGGGATGGAAAACCTGTTGGAAATGGTAATTTCGATTCTTTTCTACTTGTATAGAAGTTTTTTTTTTTTTTGCCAAAAATATTAAGTGGCAGGTAGAATAATCTGCCATTGTAAGGCCTTCTTCAACCAAACTCCAAACACATGAATGACATCGCTCGCGAGCTCCAGCCAAACGGCAAAACTCCCGCAATTTGGTTGCAGGTGAACAGTGCCACGTCAATATTGGCGTTGCACTCTTCACCTACATTATTTTTATGTCTCTACCGGATTTGCGGAAGAATCGCGCAAAAGTGGAGAAAGACGGTTACCGCGCAAAATGGAGTTCAATTGGAGATGAATCACACATTTTTTAGTTTCATTGCATTTTGGAGTGAAAAATGGAATTTTCGGTTGGCAGATGCCCTAAAAAAATCATTTTCCCTCCATAAGCACTGTGCATATGAAGGGCAAGTGATCTCTTTAGAAAATCAGGTAAGGCAGATTGACCAGTTGTAGTGAAGCTAACTTTTATTTTTGTGTGATAGGAAAAGTAGGGGAGCTAACCCTTGCACTGTCTGATCTGCTTTGGGAAGACATGATTAGTGGCCCAGAGAGGATCTGTGTTCCATATGAAGATGATGGAGCATTGCTACGGAGCAAATTATAAGCAGAGTTAAGTACATCATGTCCATTGTAGCCTTTGCTAAACTAATAATGCAAAAAGTACGATTGAATTTTGATATTTCAAGTCAATTTCTGCAAAAAGCTTGGCAAATTTTCTTCAATAAGAACAACAATTCTCCTTTGCTTCTCATATCATTACTCTGCTCTTTATCTTTGTATCCCACCTTCTCAGCAGGGTATTGACTTGATTGCTAGGCTGCAAAAGCCTGGTTTTGTCTGATTGTACTCTGTTTTGCACGTTCTCAGTATGCTTCAGTAGTGGTTTGTTTGTGTATCTTGCTTTATGCATGTGTGTTCATGTTTACTATTTAATAAATTATGTAGTAATGCTGCCGAGTACATTTATTCCTGGATTTTTGGATGCTTTTGTGGTATATTAACATCTAATGAAGGTAAAAAGAATGCTGGTGTTTCTCTACTTTCTTTTACTGTGAAAAAATGTTGAAGGGAATCATGTACTTTGATGCTATGCCATCTCATTAGCAAATCTTAACTTTTGCTTGCAAATATTAGGCCAATCTTAGGAGAAATTATTCTCTGCGGAGACCGGATGTAGAACGTCGTCCAAGAACCAATCATATTGCATCACGTCATTAGTACCGATATGTGGTAGCGAGCTGTAATACCGAGCAATACCGAGTGCAGGGGTGATATGACGCATTCTGTTTGGTCTCCAAATGACATTCGGCTTTAGCACACAAGAATTTTCCTATCTTAGGGTTAGCCACATGGAGCTTAAATATAATCTCAAATTTCATGAGTCATGACAAGCTTCTATAACATTACAAATTATATAGGGGAAGAAAAGCATTTTAAACTTGTAGATTACTAAAACCTTCTAAACCCAGGGTGAACAGTCCAAAGGTATGGTTAATTGGCAAGCATCTAACAAAGGTTAGTAAATTAAGATTGAGTGAGTCACAAACCAACTCTACTTAATTAGATGGAGGGAGAAAGAAATGTAAAAAACTAAGGAATATGTGGATTTCATTCTCCAAGAAATTGTCACATAGGGTCTGTTTGTGATGTTTTATAAAATTGATTATGAAGTTGATGTGGGTAAAATAATTTAGCTACTTTGATTGTTAAAAGCAGTTTTTCACCACAAAAATTTTTAAAAGATTGTGAGAAAATTGTAGTCAAATAAGATTGTAATTGTTGTCTGAAAAGCAAAGCATAAAAAAAGTTATCCCAAATATATTTTTAGGATAATTTATAGTTATTCTCTCTCTCTCTCTCTAGATTATGAATCCTTTCTGTAAGAAGCCATTAGTTTTCTAAAATAATATTTAATGTTTTTTCTTTCATATTTATTATTGTAAAATCAAGATGGCAATTATATTGTTTTGATATATTTGACTTGTTATGTTATAGATGAAAGACCTTCAAAGTCTTGACACATATTATACTATGTTCCCTATTGCATCAAAGATTGGAGAGAAAGGGTTTAATAACAATTTTCTTGAATCTAGACTCAGCTCTAATGGAGTCTAACATCAAATTATTAGCTTTGCCAACCAATTCTTGATCAAGTCGTGTTAAAGCATATATCCTTCTAGTTTTTTCTTGAGGTTTGAAAACTTGTCAAGAAAATCCTTCCATCTCAGTGTCTGTTGTGCACTTTTTGGGATTTATAAATTTTTTTAATTGTATTTTATGTTTCTTATTACCTTTAATAATTAAAAATATCAAATCAATTAAAAAATATAAATAAAATTAATAATTTATAAAAGAAAATCCTATTTTATAAAAAACAGGAATGGAGTGATTGCACTTCATCAACTTTAAATCCTTGGCATTGGTGTACACTAACTATGTAGTTGAAATCATTAGTAAAGAACACATGATCAAGATAGATGGAAAAGTTCTACTACTGATATAGGCTTTGTTTGGGAAAAAATTATTATGTGCGGTGTTCGGACGTGATCGGAGGCCAATTCATACGTGTCATATCATCCAATGCACATACATCGTAGAGAATAATCTCTCTTGTTTGGGGTAGTTTTTGGCTACTGTTTTTTTTTCTTCTTTCAAGAAGCTTTTGTGCTATAAAGTTATTTTGTAGTACGAAAGATACTCTAAATGAAGCTATAATTATATTTAATGGATGAGATCATGATAGAGTTGTTAAAGGAAATAATTATGAAAGGGTTATAACTCAATTTTGGGTCTATGTATATGACCAAAAGCCTCTATATAAAACATTATCAAAAGCAAAGTTTGTACTTGAAAAGCATAAAAGAAGGCTTGATTATTAAATGATATTTTAATGAGTTTAATTCTATTGTTAGGAGTTTTAGGAGTATTGAGTTGATGATTGATGATGTAGATTAAATTTTACTATTCTTGTACTTTTATCACTCTTTCTTAAGGAATATTAGAGATCACTATATGAATCAATCTTGCATTGCATAATCTATCTCAACCTCTGCGGAGACCGGATGCAGAACGTCGTCCGGGGACCAATCATATCGCATCACGTCAGTAGTACCGATATGTGGTATCGAGTTGTGGTACCGAGCAATACCGAGTGCAGGGGTGATATGACGCATTATGTTTGGTCTCCAAATGACATTCGGCTTTAGCGCATAAGAATTTTCCAATCTTAGGGTTAGCCACATGGAGCTTAAATATAATCTCAAAATTCATGAGTCATGACAAGCTTCTATAACATTATAAATTATATAGGGGAAGAAAAGCATTTTAAACTTGTAGATGACTAAAACCTTCTAAAACCCATGGTGAACAGTCCAAAGGTATGGTTAATTGGCAAGCATCTAACAAAGGTAAGTAAATTAAGATTGAGTGAGTCACAATCCAACTCTACTTAATTAGATGGAGGGAGAAAGAAATGTAAAAAACTAAGGAATATGTGGATTTCATTCTCCAAGAAATTGTCACTTAGGGTCTATTTGGGATGTTTTATAAAATTGGTTTTGGAGCTGATGTGGGGAAAATAATTTAACTATAAAAAACAGCTTTCCACCATAAAAATTTTTAAAAAGGCGGTGAAAAAATTATAGCCAAATAAAATTATGAATGTAATCTGAAAAGCAAAGCAGCAAAAAAGTTATCCCAAATAGATTCTTATGCTAACCAAAGCAAACTATAAGATGGATTTTTTAAGATCTTTCTCTCTCTTTCTCTCTCTGGATTATGATTCCTTTTTGTAAGAAGCCATTAGTTTTCTAAAATAATATTTAATGTTTTTTATTTTCATATTTACTATTGTAAAATCAAGATGGCAATTATATTGTTTTGATATATTTGACTTGTTATTTTATGGATGAAAGATCTTCAAAGTCTTGACACATGTTATATTATGTCTACATGAAATGTTCAGCCACAAATGGACGTCTATATCATTAAAAGAAAATATGTGATAAAAAAACCCTTATAGATATTTAGGCTTCATTTGGGACGGTTTTTTTACTGCTTTCTAAAACGGAGTTTTAATACAAAATTAAAAAAATTTGTACTAAAACTCCGTTTTAGAAAGTAATAAAAAAGCCATCCCAAACGAAGCCTAAGTTTAGGTGCCATATGAGATTATTGAATTTGCATAAAGCTCAACATTTTAGGGCTTTATAAGTTTAAGGAGCTCAATAAAGAGAAGATTTGAATAAAGGAAACAATTTTTAGGATTTCTTACTTAGTAATTTTGCCTAGAAAAACTTAAAATTTAATTAGTCGATTTAACATAGATATAAATTTCTTTTTGTATTTTAAATAAAGTTTAATCCATAGTTTTAAAAATCGGACCGAATCGACCAATTCAATATTTCCTTCTTCCGATTCGTTTTTCGGTCCGGTTTTAACAACCTTGATTTAATCTATAATTTTGATAATAATTTTATTTTGTGAATGGATCATAGTTAAAACCTAAGTGTGAATTTAGATCTTAAATCATTTAAGCGGAATTATGCTGGTATTAGGCGTGTATTTTAAAAATAACAAGTACTTAAAAATCATAATAGTGAATCGAGTCGGCTCGTGAGCTCACGAGCCGATCCTCAATCAAGCTCGATCTCGAGCTCATTTAATAAACAAGCTCGAATTCGAGCTCGATAACCTCAGCTCGCGAGCCCATAAACAAGCCAAGGTCGAGCTAGCTCGCGAGCCAGCTCGGCTCACTTACACACCCAGTTTGGGATGACCGCAATTTTTTATTAAAATGTTGGAAAGAAAGTAACTTTTTTAGAAGCTACTATAAAAAACTACTTCTTGGCACACAAATTTTGAAAATTGCGAAAACAAAACAAAAATCAAATAAAAACTATGATTGCGAAATAATAAGAAAGCTGTCCCAAATGAAACCTAATTCAAAGTCTGACAGGGTTTTTTGTTTTTGTTTTTTTTTTTCTATTTTGAGTGCCATAGTATTACTCAAAATGGGTTGAGAAAACATGTTTTATTATTTTCTTTTATCTGATAGATATGAATGTGGCTTCTCAAATCTTCCATTGCCTATAAATAAAATCTTGTTTTGATTGATTCATAAAAATCTTTGTGTTTTCTTATTATAAAGTCTCTTTGGCATCACCTAAGAATAATCGTGTCAATTTAGGTTAGCGTGTTAGATTCACATCTTGCCCAAAATTGACCCGAGCCAAAGATACCTAAACAAAACCTAACATGTTTAACCTAAATCCGACTCGGTCTTAACCTTAATCTATTATATTTAACTTGAATATGAATGATAATTAGATCAATTTCAAATTTTTGAATCTATTCTAACTAATCCAAAAATTAATCAAGTCGAGATTTTAAACAGAAACATTTTCTTAACAATAATCAAATCAATCTTAAAATAATAGTAATAATAAAATAATCTGATTAATCCAAGCCTTAATTTGACTATAATAATAATAATAATCTGATTAATCCAAGCCTTAATTTTTCATGTCAGATTGGGTTCGAATTGTCAGACCATATTATTTATTGATACACTCACAAATTGATGCTTTCAAATTAATTTGACTATAAAATTTTTAATTATTGTGATAAAAAGCTGATTTAAAAAATAGCAAACCAAGCCAAAATTTATTACTTGGGCTTGGGTCAGCATCATTGGGATCAAGTTAAGTCTCATTAGCATCATTAAGGCAAAAAGGATAATGATGACTTAATTCAAAAAATAGTGGGTAGCATTTAGGAGTTTATCATAATTTTGACTCAATAACCATCATACCTTGTTAATAATGAATACATACATACGAGAGCTTAAATGCAAGATCTCTAATGAGCATATTTTATTTTTTTCAAACTAGTAAACGGCCACCATTCACACCTGATAATTTTTTAAAATGAAAGATTAAGGATCCATTTAGGGCGCCTATAAATAAAACTTTATAAAATTGTTGTGGAAAAAAATTAACTTTTTTAAAGCTATTATAGCAAACAACTTCCTAACAAATTTTTTACTATTTTATCATATATTTTAAAACAAATATATTTATTATTTTTTAAATTTGTTCATGAAATCAAAGTCATAATTTTATCATATATCATTTAAATATTATGAGTCTTAAAATTGTTAAATCTCATCAGAAGAACCTAACAAATTTTTTTAAATAAAAAAAAAATTCCTAAGGCATTCACAGACCCGTTACTCTTACCATTTAAAAAAATGGACCCCACCACTCCAGAAAAAAAAAACTGTAAACAAATAAAACTATGACTCCCATCTCCAACGGCTATAATCTGTCCTTCTTCAACCGAACCTTCGCACTTTTCCTCTTTTAACTGCGCAAAAGTTTTTTTAGGCACAAAACACCCAAAAGAAATCGACACAGAGACATTTATATACCTTCTTTCTCCTTCAACTTTCCAGGAAACTATTTGAGAAAGAAAGAGCTAGAGAGAGAGATACAGAGGCCTTTGGCTTTCTCCTTCCCCAAAACCCTAATGAGTTCTCTCCCAGCACCGCCGGCAATGGATTCTTCACCGCCGACGACTCCGCTCACCCTCAAATCCCAACCCCATCTCCGATCCAGGCCCATTCCTCGCCTCTCCCACCCCTTCGACGATCCACTTGACAGCCCAACCCTAATTTCGCCATCCCCTCTTAATCTCACCATCCACGAACTCCTCCTCCTCCCCTCTTCCCCTAACCCTCAAACCAAACTCCGCCACATTGCCGGGGAAAGCCACGATCTACCTCCATTAGAAGCCACTCCTCGCCGCAGAAGTAAGAGCAAGGCGCCGCCTGCTCCGATTTCCCCGAGAAATGGCCGAAGGGCTAGAAGGAGACTGGACAAGGAGAATGTGAGGGAGGATAGGGTTCTTACTCAAGTGGAGGATGATGCTGCGAAGCTTAAGAAACGTAGGCAGAGCAGACCTCGGCTTCCTCGAAAGGAAACGCTGAGCTTGATCCCGTGTCTTCCTTCTTCCTGTCCAAAAACCAGTATGTGATTTATTTTACATCGATCGTAGACCTTTCAACAAATTTGAGGGTTTTGATATTTAGTTTCCTAGATTTTACCTAAGCTACTTGTTGGTGCTATGGTAACTTAGTTTTTCTTTTGAGGTTCAGAACAAGATGACATTACTGTAGATGAACAAAGTAGCTTGGAAGGTATATGTAAGGCAGTTTCGGATCTGGTGATGTGGAAGAATGTTGCTAAATCTAGTCTTTGGTTTGGGTTTGGATCGATTTTATTTCTCTCCTCCATTCTCTCAAGTGATGTTGGGTTCAGGTATGGCTTCAAATCAAAATATTGATTCCTGGTATCTCCTTCATGACTGGACTTTCGTCCATGAAAATAGTTTCAATATCTTCTCCTTTGAATTTTGGTGGCTTTCAGCATAGTATCAGCAGTATCTCATTTAGGAATTCTGATTTTGTGCTTGGCATTCCTCAACGACTCGATTAGACAGAGGTACTTGTTTCTCTCTCTTTCTCTATAGTAATAGACTTTATCTCTGCAACTTCAGAAAATAAGTATGATTTTACAGAAAGCAAGAGAAGAAGAAAGCCAAACCGATCCTGCTAACAGAAGAGGATTTTCTTCGAGTAGCTCGGATTATTTTGCCAGTAGTTAATGCTGCTCTTTCAAAAAGCCAAGAAACTTTCTCTGGAGAACCAGTGATGACTCTCAAAGTAACGGCCGCGCATAGTTTACTATTTCCTTGTCCTATTTTGTTGGAATCACTTGTGTTTACTTTGATTGCAGGTAGCTCCAGTTCTTCTCTTCATGGCCAAATATGGTCATCTCACTACTCCCTGGAGACTTCTAGCAATAGGTAGAGTTGAATGAGAGTTTCAAACACTTACAAAATCATTTAATTTGACGAAATTTGTTCAAGCAGGTTTTTTCTCAAGCTTCACTGTGCCTAAATTGTACTCTTGCTATTACCAGCAGATACAACAGAGAGGTATTGATTAGCTCTCATTGAAACATTTAGATAGTAATAAGGAATGTTCTCTTTTTTTTTCTCTATGTTTCTCTTCACGTCACTAAGAGCTTTTCTAAAATGAAACAGTTGAAGAAGGAAGAAGCTATGTTTTAGAGTCATGGAGATCATGTTCTCGGAAGAAGTTGGTAGCTATATCAGTAGCAGCTCTGTTATGGAATATATTCAGTGTAAAGATGCGAATCTTTGCAGGTATCTGCAACAATTTCTCAGAAATGAGTTCCATTCACTATCGCGTGTTGTAATAATCAAATTCACTACAGATAAAAGATTCAATTATGTCTGATTAAAAGTGATTTATCACATATAGATTTATAATTCATAGTTAACTGGTATGCTACAATATAAGCAACCTTATTTGAAGTCTAGATTGTTTTAGTGTATGTAGCTTACATCGCCATCAAAAGAGTGTTTTTCTTGTTCTCATTCTAGTAATGGAACCAATGAATTCAAAGTTGGATTATTAATCTGATTTATCACATAAGTTTCACTGATGCTGCTTCTCAGTGTCCTTATAGGCCTCTAGAAGTTTTAACTCTCTTGCATAGACTATTCTTGTGATGCTTTTTTGAACCCTCCATTCATTTGCCTTTTATTCCATGTCCATGTGGATTAATAACATGAATACATACAATTATATGCATCTAGAACTTAAATGAGTGTTAAAAATATCGTTCTAATGATTCTTGTTTAACTAATTGTGCAGCATTCATCACTGTTGTTATCCTTCGCTATCATCATGAACAGTCACCTTACATTCAGGAATATGAAGTAGAAGATGTTAACAAGGACAGCCGTGAAGAAGGGGGACTGGGCGAAGAAGAGAACATCAATAAAACAGGATAGAAGAGAAAGCACAGGCAAAGTTAAAAGGTGCAGAAACTTGGTTAGGAACCGCCCGCCAAGGTTATCTGCTAATACTAAATAATGTACCGTCTCCTACATGTATGTACACACTACACACTGCTGCAAAAGCTGTATAAGATGTCAAATTTTTTGGTTCACAATTGTAACTCTCTCTACAAAAAAAACTGTTAATCATCACACTAGCCTTTTTCTACCTCCCTATGATTTGTTAAATTCTTCTCAACAAGTTTGTAAAACAGTAATGCTTCTATTATCCATTAAATTGTCTATTGCACAAAATATTGCATTTATAATCAAGGACCTTTCAAAAAGATTGGCATTAATCATGAAATGTTTCAGGAAAATATAATATAATTTTTTGGTGTACCTTAATGGTTCAAAAATCCTAAAAATACTTATTTAAATTTATAAAAGAAAGAGGAAAGAACGATAGAAAAATAAATAGCTTTCCTCTCCCACAATTTTCTATTAGTGATGAATGCAAGTTGTCCAGAGTAGAACTGGCCGGGTAATTTAATGTTGTTGTGAAGGCACTTATGAACTTGTGTTATTGCTAGCAATTTATCAAATGTGCTTTAGTTCTTTGGCAGTGCTAGGCTCTAAAGATTGGAAAAAGTGCATTTTATGAAGCACAAACAAAGAAAGAGGCATTGTGGGTCGTTGATACATTCACCTTACAAGATTGAATCACATCCCTACATTTTATCCATTAAAAACCAAAAGTCATCTAATGAGTAACTGGATTTTGCCGATCAATGGTTAGATGAAGAGTTCATCAATCAAAATTTAGACATGATATGGACTATGATTTGTATGGCTCAAAATAAGCCTAAATGCACATCACTGCTTGGCTCAGGGATAACTAACTCATCCAAAACAGCTATAGAAGATGACTCGACATGATTAAGTCATTGTTTTCAGGCTAGAAAATGCATCACTTCAAGGGAACGTCCTAACATTAATACAACATATTAAAAGATTTATGTCATGATTGCTCGACAAATTTTATGCCGGCTATCGATTATCTTTAGGACTTGGGACTTGGCAATTATGATATTTTTAAGCTCAATTGGATAGCTTTCCCACATGTAGTAGATACATCTCTTTTTTAAAAAAAATTTCCTTGAAAGATGCATTTTATAGAAGCCTCGGTCTCATATGTTTCAATCAAGGTGAATTTAAAATTAAAGAATGTTGATCTTCCTTGATCATTGAATATGAAAATTGATGGAACTGTTCTGCTACTAGGGCTGGATTTCTAGCTTATAGTATGAGTCGGTCTTTTTGTTCATTTAAAGACAAGGGCCTCATTATATCTCTATGATAAGCCATCTATTATGATTAATGATATGGTTAAACTATTACTAAATCAAAAATTCGATCTGTTAATTAAACTGCAAGGTTTCCAAATCTGGAGCCAAATGTTAACTAGTAGTTAGAAAGGTAGGAAGCAGGCCACGAGTTGGAAGGACTACCAAGAACAATGCTACACCCACCCATTAACTGCTCGACACAATGAGAGTTGTCACACTTACAGGAAACTATTTATAAGAAAGAAGTTTGCACTAGGTAAAGTATCGTTGATTATTTAACATACTGTAGATAAGAACAATTTATTGAATAAGTTCATCAGTAGGTTAGTAGTTATTTAGCAGATAAAGGGACAATAAAAAAAATGTTTCTAAGAACAACTCAAACAGCTAAAGCAAATCATATTACATGCTAAAAAAAATGTACGCATTATTACCAGAACTTCAGTGAATTCAAGCAGGCAATACCTTCAATATATATTTCTTTCAAGGAAGCAAAAAAATAGAGATTTCATCAAAATCACCTCAAGATTAATTCAAGTTACTTTTCTAAGGTGCATTACCACTGTTGAAAGATGAGTTCATATCAACACCTTTTGATGTGAAAATTCACCAATTTCACTATGGATAATCACTGTATCTGTTAAAGACAGTTGTAAGATCACAAACAATCCATTTGATGAAATTTTACTGAACTTTACTCGAATTAATCATCAAACAGTGTTGAAAGCAGCAGATCCTGCACAAATTTTGCCCTGACTGTGGCCTGCCTCTGCTTCTTTTCCCTTTCTTCTTGGCTAAGAGAAAGATCGATACTGCTATAAACAAAATGTGAAATTCAATTTTTTGAATTTGAGGTATGCTAAGTGCTGTATGTAGAAAAAATTCAATTAGGTGTTGTTTGTGTTTCCATCTTCAAACTCCTTAAATGACTTCACAACATGCAACCAAACAATCAAAGTCAATTTGGGTTTATAGCATGCTTGCAGTTCAATCATTTAATGGAAATAAAAACTTGAAAGTGACAAGAAGTAGCAACAACCATTTCGCCGTTAAGATTCTTAGTAAGCAAATGCATGCATCATCAAATGTCCATTTTTTCCTCTACAAAAAGATTCCAACTCAATGTTTCATTTCGCTTAGAAGGTACACATTACTTTTGGAGAGTAAAAATTTTCAAAGAATAGAAAATATATGAAGATGCTGAGTTAATGCTTAAGAGTTAAGATAAAGCATACATAGGTAAAAGAAAATCTGAAAAGGAAACCTGCCAGTCTACAAGGGCTAAATTATAGGAAATATATATCTGTTTATAGAACTGAACGCATTAAATTTGTTCTCACTATTTCCCTTCTCAATTTTTTGTCAAGCCATTACTCAGTTAATTGGTTTCAAATTCATGACTAGTTTACCTAGCTGCAGCAAAGATGACAATAAGTATTACCTTGGGTTCCCAGCCTTTGTAGTTGACTTTTTCCCAATGAAGTCATCAACATGGGATAAAGAAGATTTTGAAGTTTCTTCAGCTTCTGATGCAGGAAAATTTAAAGCAAAAGAAGATAGAAATGAATCAGCAGCTGCAGCAGAGGTACTAGAGTTACTTGACCGATAAGCCCCACCACCCAAAAGCGCCTGCAGGTGAGCCTCACGAAGGTCTTTACCCAGAAGTGATAGTGCCTGGCCATTAGGAATAGCAACTCTGCGTAACCTTCGATGTCTCTGCAGGTGATCCAGAGTCAAAGAAAATTATGAATCCCCTTAAGCTTTGTCATTCGATCTATTAAAGGTTTAGGGTTGAGTTGATAATGTTTTTGTAGTCTATTTCATAAATTAGTATTCGATATAAAGTTCTTCCAGCAATTTTTAGTCAAACAATTCAATCAAAATGTTTGAAATAGTTGGAAAGTTACTTCTGATGCGCTCATTCTTTGCTTATAACAAAATAAATTTTTAAATTGCCTCTTGTTTAGCTTGTTTTTCTTTTCAGCCTATGATGTGACACTTCTCCTAATAGAGGCGTGCAGTGTCAGACACGTATCCGACACGACACGCGTCCGACACATCTCTGACACGTGTCGGACACGTCGAAAATGTGTCTGATTAAAAAAATATTAAATATAAATTGGACATACATGTCTTAAAATTTTTATGAATTTTTTTAATATAATTTCTTTTATTTAAATTTTAGTTTATTTAAAATATAAAAAATTAATTTTTTTATTTTTTTTCAACAACACCAAATCAATCGCGCACACTCAATACTCTATTCATCGAATATTCACATTTTCATTTTTCTTTGACGGGTCGCCACTTTGATTTCACTACAATGTCCGATGTCATCTCATCAACATCGACGTCTGATGTCACTATAACATCGACATTTCAAATATTCTCAATGCTAGCAATTTTTACACCCACAACTTGACAGCTCATCTTTGTCCAACGTCATCTTAAAATCGAAGACCAACACCCTCTCAACATCAACGACAAATGCCCTCTCAACATCGATGCCTGATACTTACTGCATAACATCAATGCCCAACTCTTGACAGCATTGTTTTCTTCTCTCTCGATGCCTGATACACGGTATTGACGCCCGACTCTCAGCATCGTAATATTAATCATTTTAAGTACAATTTCTAGTTAAATGACTTATTATTTATATATTATTTTTGATATTATACTTAATCAATTTGTATACACTATTTTTAAAATATAAAAATTATAATATCGTGTCCAACCCATATCCAACTCCTATATTTTCTCCCATGTCCGTATTGTATCATATATGTGTCACCATATCCGTGTATGTACATCATAGTTTTCAACTCATGCATGCAAGTTCTTATGCTCAATAAGCTTGTACTGAATCAATAATGAAAGATTGTTTATAAGAGATTGTATCATGATTATAGTAAATTTAGAGTTTTCCAGCTCATTTTTAGGTTTCCATATTATGAAATAGCATCCATGCATTATTTATTATTTCAAGCAACCATATTTATTCTCGAGAATAAATACTGAACTATTGTGTAAGTTTGAGCTGAATGTGCATCAAAGATTTTAGATCCTGTTTACAGATATCGCTGGCAAAATATTTCAGGAAAGGATATCTTGAAGGCTTGGCCATGTTGCAACATAATATGACTCAGCATTTCTCCTGCAACCTTAACAGAGCAAACGGGGCAAACCTGAAATAAGGAAAGGTAATGGCTAGTATCATGGGAGGTTCTTACAATTTGAAAGAAATTTTAACCACTACTGCAATGATTTAAGGAACAAAATTCACAAAGTAAATTTGTCATATCAGATTAATAAAGAGGCTCTGGATAACCTACTATTATTATTTCGATGCTATCAAACGGTCAGGTTCAACTGCAGAATTTGGCAAATGAGATTTATGAATATAGTTGTAGTTGCACCAGAGTTGTTCATAATATTTTCTTTATTATAGCAGGTGAGCTTCCAGCCTAGATAAATATAAGGATAAATTTTCTGTGTTATTCAGCTATAGCTAGATTTATTTGAGATCCCATGTTGCAATCAATGTCTTGATTAAATTAAAACTAAAAGCATCAATTTAATACCCCATACTTTCATTACTATCCCCTATCTCATTCAGTTCAAAGTTAATTCCATTGACATTTATTTTGATACAATAAATTCAGATATCAACATCAACACATACCACCTAAATTCATTTCCAAAGCAATGAGATGGTATTAACTATTAACAGGTGATGAAAAAATTTTCCACTTTTCAAGCATTATCAATGAAACAAATCAAAGTAAAATTAACCAAAGATTGCAGTGATTAGGTGTTCAGTGTAGGGTTATCTTTTGGATTCAAGCATAAAAAGTAGCCAAACAATCACTTCGAGGGCTAGGTGTTCAGTATAGGGTAATTTTGAAAATGTAAATGCTCTAATTCCCCAAACAGCGTGATCACAAACAAATCCCAAAGACACGTAGCATTTTCAATATGGAATCAAACAGTAGATCAAACCGACTGAGTTTAGATTCATTATTGATTTGTTTGATATTTTTTTTGGTTAAAAGTAGCATTATTCTTCCAGAAAGCTACCCATATGCTACAATGCTGATTAATCTCGTTAAAATATAGCAGTCATGGATATGCGGACCAAATGACAAAAGGAGCACAAAATGAGGTCAAGGCCATGTCAAGTAAGGCGCTCATTTGATGCATTTGAAAGAACTTGACTCTCAAGCATTTTTTTAGCTTATGTATTCTCGTAGAAATCAAGGTATATATATATATATGACTGGGAGAAATGAAGTGGCAGCAGAATCCAAAAGGAAAAGGTAAAGACTACATTGGTAGTTTTGGCCCGGGTGATCACCATCGATTAAAAAGGCATTTGAGGCGCTCGACTCGAGGTGGGACTCTGATGTGTCGAGGCATAAGCCTCACCCATATGATATTTTTAGATGCCTAGAGGTTGTTTGAGGCAACGCCTCACTCAATTTCTTTTATTTTTATAATTGCATGAATATGCGAGTATAATAAGTTTTAGCGCGTAACTGTTGTTTTGATTTCGACTGCTTTGTGTGAAGTAGAGCTTTGAAAGAGAAGCCCCTCCACGTCCTTCAGCAACGCCACTCTTGTCAAATAGTTAAGGAGCACACAACGAACATAATGATCTTTCTTCATATCGAGCATGCTTTGGCTTTGCTTGCTTCATGTGAAGTAGAGTTCTGAACGAGTCAATCTCCCGTAACAGCGAAGGTGATGAACTTTCTTCCGTTTCGACTCTACTTTGGCATTGCTTTCTTCGTGTGAAGTAAAGTTCTGAACAATTTAATCTCCCATCGCAGCAAAGGTGACAAACTTTCTTTCCTTCGAGCACTGTGCCGGCTTCGCCTGCTTCATATGAATTACAGTTTCAAAGGAATTATCCGCTCCATCAGCTTCGTCTGCTTCGAGCTCTGCGTTAGCTTGGCCTGTTTCGTGTTGAGTAGAGTTTTGAAAGAATCGAACAAAAGGTAATAATCCGTGGACTGTAAGTAAAATCTCAAATCCTTATTTCTTATTGTTATGGCTTCTTAGTTTTCCGTGTGACTTTTTTCATCGATGTTTCGCTATCCATACCGTCATTTCTAATGAAAAATGTATTGAGAATCTGCCGAAAACTTATAGCAAAACTAAAAAAGTCATTCTTATGAAATTTCTCAAATAGCATACTAATACAACATTTTACTTGATAATTTACAATATGAAGATGAATGGGTTACTCCTAAGAGTGTTGATGTTCTTGAAGTAGAAGTTGAAGGGGAAACTTATATCAATGAGGACAATGAAGCAACCTCTATGAACATTGAAAGGTCTATTAAATTGGGATCAGCTTCTACTTATCAAGTATATAAAAGAAAGAAACAAAGTGAAGTTGAAGCTTCAAAAAAATTCAAAGGTAATCTTAAATCGAGTATTTATTTTGAATATTGTGTTCCAGTAATATTTATCTTCAAAACAAATCGTTATGTTCATAATTTACTTAATATTTTATTATTTTCTATGAATTATTTATAATTTTTAAGTACTTTATTTTTTTTGTTTTTTAGGCTTAAGCCTCGCCTCACTTAAGACAAAATGCCTAGTTTTCTTTTTAAACCTTGGTAATCATCAAAGTCGACGGGGAATTAGGCCTTTTTAAGAAAATAAAAAATTAAAAGCTTTGGAAAACTTGATCCAGCCAAATTTAAAGTTTTAATAAGAGTTCTCATGGATGATAAACTGACTGAAAACAAGTGCAATGTCCCAGTTAAACTAGCAAATCGATGTACAGATCTATGGTATTTTGGCAACTCCATAAGCTAAAATCGACTACCAAACTAGTCCTTGAGATTTTTTTTACTATCCCCACTTCCTGAATGAAGCATACTCACTCAAATTGCCAAGACAAGTTAACTAAATTTATTTTGTAAGCTACGATCAACCATACTCCAATCTTCTTTCAGGCTGATAAAGGACCAACAAAATCCTTTCCAAAGCACATAATGAACCTTTAACACTCTTTTTCCTAGGGTAAGGGAGAATCTTAAGCGCACTAAGGGGCTATATAGTTGTCTGTATCTGAAAGTATACAGCATTTCCAATCCCACTTCCAAAAGTGGAAGCTAGAGAAATCACAATTAAGATAGTTGTTTATAAGTAACACTCTTATTTTCTATAGTTTCATTGAGATGTGTCTAATAATCTAGTAAAATTACCTCCATATATATGCATGCAAGTATGAATGCATGTGCAAACACATAAATAAGAATGAATTAAGCTTATTTCATACAATATATTTTTATATATGAAAGTAATATAATTATATGGAGAATAGTTCTAATTATTATTTTGGTGTATGATTTCCGCAGATGGTATCATTCTAATTAGTGTGATATTGATTGAAATAAATAAAAATTTGAAATGGACGCCCTATAATGATGTTAACAATTAACATTCATTATTATTAAAAAATAAAGTGATACATAGGTGAAATAGGTTTAAATATCTTAGATTTATAATATAGAAAAACGGTATGATAAGAAAATAATTTTTAGGGTTAAGGCCGGATAATTAAAATGATGAAGTGCCTCAAAATTTTGTGTGATAATTGGGTATCATGGAGGTTTAAAGATAAATTTTATTAAAATGCACATAGTTTGACTATGTTGCAAGATCTAGATATGGTTATAACGAAGTCATTGATAGCTCAATTGAGTGTGGTGGCAAAAAAAAAAAAAACTTCAGCAATTAAGTGTGCCGAAAATGCTAAACTACCATTAAAATTGTTGCTTCCACCTACTTTGCATGCCTCTTTATTTTTTCTGCATGGCCATTTTCATTTGTGCAGAAGCTGCACAAATAGCACGTACGTTCAAGTACCTAAAACATATTGCTCATGTCTTACATAAGCTTTCACAAAAAGCTATACATGTTGCAGAATCAGAAAGAATTCGCACATTTCTCATGAACCTTTTTTAACCTCATCTTCATTCCACAAGAAGGAAAGATAGGTTTTTTTACTTGCATATTGACTCCATAAACCTAGGGTGATAAAAAGGATGCAAACTCATTTGATCTGATCATATCAAACACTAAACAATAGGAAAAGGAAAGCAGATGCAATATGTGTTACCACCAACAGAATAAGATAGCTCCTCTTAGTCCTCTAAAACAAGAATAGGAAGAGCTAATGCAGATCTGATAAGGTTGCAGTAAAGATAATGGATAAAAAAAACTTAAATACATCCCGAGCTTCCCAAGCCTTCAGAAAAAAACATGGAAGCAAAACACGGAACAAAAGAGACCATAACTTAGCACATGAATCAAAATGAACACAAGATTATATTTAATGTAAAATTCTATAACCATAAAGTTAATGAACTTATTTTGTTTTCAGCTTCTTTTTACATTTAGATTGATCTTTTATACATTAAAAGATGACAGGGAATTTATTTGGACAAAAGAGCATCTAATATAGATTCTTACAGCAGCTTTAGATTCAAAAGGATGCTCATCTTCGAGATGAGAGCACAATGATGCGATGTCGTGGTCCTCGTCACAGAAGGGGCAAGGAAAATCCGAGCGGACCTCCTCTTCCAATTCGTACTCATCGACATCAAACCGATCTGGAACCTAAAATAACCTCGTCAAGCCGGGAAAATCGCTAAGAAAATGCCCTTATCAGATTGACGGAGGCGTTGAGGGGACCTCAAGGGAAAAAGGGTAGGAGACCTGAGTAGGAGCTCTGCTGTTGCTGAAGCAAGTAATGCCTCTTTGCAGCGGCTAGGCGAGAGACCCACGGATCAGAATCCATTCGTTGATTGCTTGGAGATTACAGCTCCGGATCAGAAATAATGGAAATCCTCTCCTCCTCAAATCTAGTAAAAGCTCTCTCTCTCTCTCTCTCTTGTTGCCCTTTACTCTCCTTATTCTATATCCTCCTTATGCCGCTCGTTCCTGAAGAAAAATTTTCCTCCTGTTTCTTCCTATCCACCGTTGAAGATTTCAGAGAGAGAACGCCTGGGCCTGGGGGAAGGAGAAGGAGAAAATGGATAGGGATAACAATGGAGTTTTTATGGGTTTCAACGAGCCACGGTACCGACGTGGAGTTCGGGGGGGGACGACTGAAACAAAAATAATAATTTAAATTAACAGGATGAATAATGTTAAGAATAAAATTAAAAGAAAAAAAAAAATCTTCCATTAAGAGAGAGATTATTACGTACGGAGTCTGAATCGAAGCTGCCTCTGAATTCTGTGAGTGTGCATAATAAAAGCATAATTACTATCTACACTGCGCTTTTATTATACTTTTACTGTGTCCACTCACAAAATCCTGACAGTTTTCTTATCCAAACTCCGCAAGTACTAATCTCTGCTATTAAAGAGGTGATTGGATGATGTGGCGGAGCCAATCCCTTGTTTATATTTTAATAGGCGAGCGGCTCCACTCTTTTTTGTATTTTTATGTAAAATATTGCCAAATGTCCGAATATAATAGTTGGAAGTATCACTTAATTGTGCCAAATTTTTTATAGTAGGATATTAATTGTGCCAAATGTCCCATTATTATGTAGGGCTCTAGACTTAATAAAATCACTAAGCTCTCTCCCTCATCTTAAGTGAAGTTATAGCTCCCTTTATGTGGAGAATGTGAGATTATTTATAGTTTTTTAGGGCGTAATTTTGTAAGTTTAACCAAAATCCCTAAACACTCTATCAAATACTACCCATGTTGTTTCTATTGATCACATACCATTATTTCAACCATTTTAGTGACTTAATGATCTCAAAATTATGTGGTCTTTGATTTGTTAGATTTCTCTCAACGAGACACTCGTTTTGATTGTAGTATGCATATAAGATTCAAACATCATTTGGTTTATGATATCATGAAGTTTTCATCAACATTTCAATGCTTGATTAGAGCTCTATTGGACTCCGATCAACAAACTTATGATGTTGGAAAAGTTTTTACATAAAATATTTCATCATGATTCATGCTTAGTTGCCTAATTTTCTAGCAATGTATCAAAAGGGTTGTTAAGTTCCATTGAAATTAGTATCATGTAAATAGACATCATACATCTCCAAAAAAATTAATTGATAAGCACAAATCTTGAGGGAACATTTATATTAAATTTAGAACCGTCAGAACTTCGATTTCAACAAACTTATAGTTGAAATAATTGAACATCCCATTGATATTAAATCATCGACACCACAAATGATTTGCTCTAAGTCTAAATAAACCCAAATCAAGCATTTAAAGAATATTTAAGGACTTTTGAACAATAATTAAAATATAAAATGGTCTTCAAATATTATGTACTTATTATTAAATCGAGCGATTTGACGAGACAAATCCAATGAGCTTAAAATTATTCAATTATGATGTCATTGATAATGTTGGATAAATTATTTATGATCAAAGAAATCAATATGAACCATTCGATAGAATGTTTTGGATTCTGGCTAAATTTATCAAAATATTTCTCTTTAAAATACTATAAATAGAGTATCATTTTGTACAAGAGAGGAGATTCTAGAGCTGAGATATCTAAAAAATCCTATTACATTTTCAAGTGATTATTGTAGATGATCACCATCAACAATCATTGACATCATCATCAGACTTTCGTTATCCAACTATTATTGCTTGACTATCAATATTCAACCTTACAATTCGGGTGAACATAAGAATTTTATAATTCCTATAATGAGAATCAGACAATTATTCTTAATTATATATAACCCAATATTCTTTAATAAGAGAGGACTCTTGTATCTTGCATTATATAGTTTATTAATGCAACTGGGCCAAGCCTTGTGAAAATTTTGTAATGAATTTTTCATATAAAAAGTTATGATATCTCACAGTTTTTATCTATGTTAGTCAAATTTTTGTACAAAGTTAAGGTATAAAACAAGTAAAACTTATGAAATTTAGAATAAAAATAGACTATTATTGTGTGCGACAATATTCTCAGCGGTAGGGAGATAGAGAGTTTTATATCTTAATTTCGCCTAAAAATCCAGTACACACATACATACGAGAGGAGTGAAATAATTGTAATTGAAAGATACACCATAATTTTTACATCAAAAGCTCAGGTAAAGAAAAACCACGGGCCCTAAACCATTTAAAATGATTCTACTTGTATTTTAAATTAGTTATAAAATGTAAAAAATGTGATATTTGAATTTCTAGTAATTTTGACCATATAATTGTTTATATATTGTATATATGCTCATTCTGTGTGTGTGTGTTCTGTAATGAAATATGTGCATGCAAGAAAGGCTTGCTACTTAATTGGACTGATTTATGCTGGTGTAGACAAGATATGATACTGTACATAAGAGGGTGGGTAGATAGATTTTCTTTTAAATGAACATAATATATAATATGATGGGAGACATAAGGGGACAATGATATGACAAAATATTGGAGTGATGACTCCTATATGATGTCACTAGATTATGATTGAGATTGATATGACTGATATTATATGGTATGTAATGTTTTTATTGCCCAGGGTCTAATGAAAGAATAATATTTAACCATATCTATTTCATCATCAAAACTTATGCACAACAGAGCCTTTAAACATCTTAAATTCGGAAATAAGGATATGACTAACATTTAAATTCCATTCTGAATTAATTATATACATTAATACTTAATCATATTTATTTCATCATCAAAACTAATGTTAAAGTCATTTTATGTATTATTTTTTGTAAGTGTTCTTTCTATTTTCATGTCAAATACTAAGGGTTTCTTACTAATTCTACTATTTATACACTAACAACAAACATGAAGTGAAATACAATAAAATAAATTAAAAGTAATAAATGCAAACAACAAATAAATATAATTTCATATCGATGAGCTTATCTTTTTGAGACGTTCAATTTGTCTATAAATTTGCTAAAAATATATTTTGGATGGTCATGAAATTAATTTTAAAAGCTTTCAATTCAAATATGCGTCGAGATTCGTGCCCAATCAAGATAATTTTTCGATGATGTATCAAATGTATAGTTATCAATAGACATTTTGTTGAAAAGTAGCTAAAACTACAAAATATGGTCCTAAAGTTTATTAATGGCAGTCCATCACACGATGGAATATAAAGCATCTCATTTTTTACTGGCATTTTAGTTGGAGTAAATTATAGATTTTATTGCTCTCTAATTTATTTTAAAATTAATTAATGAATTTAAATATAGATTTTATATAATTCCTTCTTACTTTTCTATTCCATGACTAAATCTATTTTATTTGTTTATTTAATATGATTATTAAAAAAACTTATTTGTGGTTTTTTTTATTATCTTTTTTAGCTGATGTTTAATTTCAAAATTATAGAATTACTTATTTATTAATTCAAAATTCAAATGCTTATTTTTTAGACTATTTATTAGCTAATTTAAGTAGTTCTTATATTAAGATATATATATATATATATATATATATATATATATATATATTAATATAACAATCCCTCTGCTTCTACTCACGCCTCTTTACCACTAATTGTTATCCATATGCGTCTCTTCAATTCGTTTCTACGCTGAATAAATTTGGGAATTCTCAACAGGAAATTGTTGCGTCATGGAGTATTCATGGCAATAGAGAAATGTAGATTGGAAGGACCGTATTATGCAAGAGACCGAGGTCGAAGAGAATTTTGTGTGGTGATGTAGGTCGGAAGGACTGTAGTAAGTGACAGAGGTTAGAAGGACCATAGGCGGCAGGAGACAGAGATCAGAAAGATCATTGTCTGACGATGTAGGTCGGAAGGATCGTAGTATGCAATAGACCTAGGTCAAAGAGACTGTTGTTTGGCGATGTAGGTCGGAAGGACCATATTAGGCGAAGGAAGTCAAAAGGACCGTTGTAGTAGGGCGGTACTTTGGTAGAACTATGGGTATTAGGTGGTGGCCTAATAGAAGTTCGGGCCTTAGGTGGTGGTCCGGTAGAAGTCTGGGCCTCAGGTGGTGGTCCGGCAGAAATCTCGGCATCAAGTGGTGGTCCGACGTAGGTGAGGGCTTCAAGTGGTGGTATGGCGGAGCAACGACATTAGGTGGTGGTCTGGTGGATGTGAGGGCCTCAAGTGATGGTCTGGTGGAGCTCAGACCCTTAAGTGGTGGTCCGATAAAACTCCGACATCATGAGGTGGTTCGACGGAGGAGAGGGCCTCAAGTGGTGGTCCGGCGGAGGTGAGGGCCTCAAGTGGTTGTCCGACGGAGCAACGATGTCAGGAGGTGATCCGGCGGAGGCGAGGGCCTCAAGTGATGGTCCAGCGGAAGTCCGGCTGTGGTTGAGGAGGCGCTTCTTTCTTCTCTTCCTTCTCTTCTTCCTTCTTCTCCTCTTGCTTTGGTCTCCTCTCAAGAGAAATGAGGGGTCTATTCATAGGTTTTTGAGGATGACAAAACCCGTAAATAGGTGAGAGATAAAGGGTAAATGGGGAGTGGTTAGTGGATGGCCGATATTGAATCCCTTGATCATGTATCGTTTGTCATGCATTTAAAGGTCTTAATGATGTCGAAGTTTGACAATATTGGGCTCGTTGGATTTGTCTTATTGAGCCGCTCGATTCAACTATAAGAACGTCATGTTTAGAAACCATTTGGTAACCCAAATTGTGGTTTGAGTCTTACAATAGCGCTTCGGGTACTTGATTTGGCCTCATTTGGGCTCAGATTGAGTCGAATTTGGTGTGTTGGGTTCATATTTCTAAGACGTCCAGTTCAGCTGTAAGTTTGTTTGAAATCAGAGTTCAAATGGTTCCAATTTTAATTTCGAAAGTTTCCAACTTGATTTTGCATCAAGATTCGTGCTCGATCAAGATAATTTTTTGATGACGTATCAGAAATGAATCTCATATTCACACTTGTTCATAAATCGCAATTGATATGCATGAACATTGTCTCAATTGGTATCCTTCATAACCCTAAACCTCTATTGGCATCTACTGCTCGTTGGAATCACAATCGATATGCATTTTTCTGCTCGCTACAATCGCAGTCAATACGATTCTGAATATGGATAAGCATATGGGGAGATCATTTTTTATGACGGGAAAGCACAT